TAAACTGGGTTGAATTTTTCTGTGTCAATGCGAAGTGTTACCAAAAAAAAAAAAAAAAAAAAAAAGTTGAAAAAGGGTTGCCCTTTATTGGGGCAATTTTGAACACACTCCCCACGCAAGAATCGGATGTGCTGCATTCACCTTCCGAAGAATGGTGGCAAATCGATGTCTGTCTGGCCTAATAGGGACATACCTGTAGGTAGGTCTGACCACATGTATCCCAGCAGGGTGCAGAGTCAGCGCTTCGAGATGCAGTTGGAGACGGAGGCCCGCGTCAAGCGTCCCCAACACTGTTAATATCTTTCTCCTGTCACAGTAAGACCAACCCTGAGAGACACGAAACAAAGCCTTCAGAGCCTCTCACCCAACAGGACCTGATCCGTGTAAACAGGCAACGCCTACGCCCTTCTGCCACACTACTTTTGGATTCACTATTGAATCATTAATGCGACCGACACCCATGTGATTTGCTCAGCGACCTGTCATGCATGTTATGCTATGTTTCGTAGAAATGCAGCTCATTGTATGCACAAAAACGTGGTGGTAGTTGTAACGCGGAAGAGGAAGAGGTTCAACAACATTGATAGCAGAATTAAAAACAACCATACTGCAGGTATATCTGTGAAACTGCAGCAGAGAAAAAGTTTCATAAAAAAATTAGCTTTTTTGATATGTCTCTCTCGTTAGCTACACACTGGGCGAATAACTTACAGGCTCAGAGGAGAAAACAGACGGACTGGAGAGAGTCAACTATCTGTTCTTTCATCTTTTTCTTTTATCACATGTCTATAAATATTGGCTGGAACAACCTTTTCTCAATGGGCTTCAGGTGTGTTTGTTCAGCGAGAGTGCTCATTACAGTTGAGCTAGGAGTTATTTTGGAGTTCAAAATACATTTTTTCTGTTTGCAGTTTGGCAAAAGTGAATACATTTTCTCTGGAAACAATGAGACAAATGGTGCTGTTAGATTTTGTCTAACTCAAGCACAATCAGTTTTGAACTGACATGTTTACATTGAGCTTAGATTTCATCAGGACATCTGAGGGCATCTGGTTCTGCCTCCGCTGTGCCGCATGTGTCCCTCTGATCATGTTCACTCGATGTGTTGTAGGTGTGTTTTCTCCAAGCCTCCTTGCTCCCCCCTGACCTCTCACCCAGCCTCTCTCCCTTCTTCTTTGTTGTTCAGGTCAGAGTCCATGCACTCGCTCCTTGCAGCCACATGGCCACGTTGTGGTATGCAGATACCCAGACACAGGTAAGTCTGGTTCAGGTGCACCCCACAGTGATCCTGACCCACTCTTCTTCACCCCTCAGCTCTCAGGGCCCAGCAGGGTCCCGGCAGAGGTCACAAGTGCCTCAGTATCCCAGGGATGAGACTCCAGACTTGCATGAAGAGGAGCGTTTGATGTAGCCCTGTCCTCAGCTATGTTACAATGCTAATATGGCTTTAATCAGCTCCAGCAGTTGCTACTTCCTTGTTGACAGGCCAAGGCAAACTCCACTGTCCAAGTAATGTCTTATTGGTGACAGTCGGTTCATTGTCAGCTCGCAATGTTTGTTCTTTTTAAAATAAGGTGTTACAACTTTAGAAAGAAGAATCACTGTTTACCAAGCTAATTAGCTGTGAAATGACTGAAGACAAGATTTGAATGAAAAAAAAAGAAGCTAGCAGCACCATAAAGTCCACAGCGTGTTTCCAAATACGTTATGCAAATATGTCTCCAAGTGCTAATACATGCCCATTATTACCAGCTGCGATTGCTGAGCTGCTATTGTTTTTCACTTTGTGAGTGTATGAGTGTTTTTGTGGAGTACCTTGGCAGCTGTTTTTACTATGCCTTGTAAAAGTATTCCAACCCCTTGTATTTTACACATTGATAAGAAGTTGTATTTATTTGTATTTAGCCTTCAGTACTCTGTTTCCCCTAAATTAAATCCATTGCAGACAATTGTAGTAATATTTGATCTTACTATGAAAACATCTTGAAACATAATGGTTGCAGCATCATGCTGTGCATAATCTTTTCTTTAACAGGGGTGTGGAAGATGTTCAGAGTTGATAGGAAGATGGGTAGAGCTTAATATCGGGAAAATCCTGAAAGAAAACATGTTAGTGGCTGCAGAGACCACAAGGGGGGTGTTTGGATCAAACTATTTTCAAGTTTTAGAATGGTCCAATCAAAGTACAGACCTAAATCTAAATCTGTGGAAGACTTCAAAGGTTGCATTTGTGGATGCTTGAGCTATTTGGCAAAGAAGCATGGGCAAAAGAAAACTATGAATCCTTTTAGTTTCACTTCACGGTTACACATTACTTTGTGTTAGTCATCCCAATGAAATATGTCAAAATTTATGTGAAGAAGTCCAAGTTGTATGAATAATGCAAAACAAGTATATATTTTTTTCAATGTTATGGTATTGCAGCACAATCTTGTATACAGTTTAGTCTCACTAGTATACAAGTGAGATTTAACTGTGGCTGAAGTTTGAACACACGTTTATTATTGTAGCTATTAGCGTTAGCAGCTTGTGGGTTGGAGGGTCCACATGTACCAAGTCATTCTGGACTAAGCTTTCTATTAGTCCCGTATCTGTTTTTTTAGTAGATGGGATAATGACAGGCGGCATGGTCCACCCGGTACCGATAAGAGTGCCACCCTCTACTCCTAATCTGCTCTCCAGTTTGCTCAAAGACAATTTAACGACTGGAAATTGAGCCCTGAGGAGTGACAGCTAAAACTGATATTAGAGTCAATGAGTGCACCTTGCTCCTAGTTCTTTTTTGGCACTCCCAAGTTGGTAGACCTTTCCTTAAAACTGCACCAAAGATAAAAAAGAGAGCTTTCTCAGCTTGCTATGGCATACTAATACCCTGGACTCATTAAATTAATGGGGCCAGATTCCTCTTACAGAATGTGCTCTGATGCCCTTTGAGTTTGCCGGGGCTAGAGGGTGTGCAACACTTTGAAAAGCCCTGACCGGCATATTGAACATGCTTTAATAGAACCCTTTTGAGACTCCTGGTAGGATGCTCAGTAACTCTTTGCCTTTAAGTTCCCGCACATCTCTGAGTGATCTCGTCAGATAGCCTCTCTATCCTCGGATTCAGGCCTGGAGAGGGGGAGGGGAACAGTTGGCGTTAAATGAGGCCAGAGGTGCCCGTATCTCAGCAGAGGCCATTCTTTCCTGGAGATGTGTATCTTTGAGACATAGTGCTGAGCTAGCTTTGAAGTGGAAAGGTGCTCTGTGTAGAAAGTGTGAAACAGGAGGCTTATAGTCCGGCCTCGTTTCCCTTCACCGGCGAGAGCCTGGCTTTTCACTGGACAGTCCATCCAGGCTTGATTTAATTATTCCATTCATCCAACCACTGACAGGGTAGATTTAACCCCTCAAATGGCCATTAAAAATGTCATTGCGTATTTAATGGGAAGTCGCTATGAAGCACGCCATGATTTAGACAAGCTGCTGCAATTTAGAAAATTTATTTTAAGAGCCAGAGCAGACTATCAAGGAGTAAAGGGCAAAAGAGAAGGTATTGTTTTATCAGCACTGTAATAAAATGGTTATGACTTAATGTAATGGAAATGGAATATTAAAATGATTTTGCATATCTGCCCAACAGCAAAAAGATCACTTGATAAGAAAAGAAAGCTGGTGAACCTCCATTTGCATGACAAAAAAGCCTCTTAAGAGGGCTAATACATCACATTCATGTTATCACAATCACAGAACCAGATATCTAGATAGAGAGTAATTAAAATTTTAAGATTTCATGATTGGAATCAATGAAGATTTACTAATCTGTTTGAATTATATTGATAAAGCACAAAAGTAACAATCAGCTGAAACCAAGTGGCATTCTGCTGAGACGTAAGGACATTTTGATGTAACGATTATCTCTCGCTCGGTTCCTCTCCGTCATCTCGAACAACGTGAAACAGAAAAACATTCCTGTCGCGATGACACTTGGACACAGTTCCGAAGTAAGAAACAGGATTCATAGCAGCGGGCTGAAACAGAGTAAAAGCAGACAAACGGCTGGCGTGTACACCAGGATACTGACAGACAGATGCTACACATGAGCCAGACAATGAGTTTCTAACAGTTGAACACAGTTTGCCACAACAGATCTCATCGAGCAAAATATGGCTGACTCAGGTGCACTGTGGAGCAAGCACCTAATTTCTAAACTACGTCTCACTCCGTTTTTATGAATGTCTTTGCATGTGACAGACGGCACATCGTACCTCTCACGGAAATCGTCGTTGGGCAATTGTACGATTTACACAGCCAGATTTGGCAGTAATGATTTCATGGAGCCTTTGATTTTTTACCTCGATCACCATGGTTGCAACATTGCTGGATATTGCTCCTCATTAGCTATTCCATAAGCAGAGAGCCATGCACTGTTGTAGCAACTGATAACTTACATGCCTCCCACTCTTAAAGTGTGCTGGTAATTTATTCTCTCCCCCAGCGCTCATCATCCTGATGCAACTCTCACACTGACAGGAATCCATCTCTGTGTACCTGGCAGCAAAGTGGATGGGGGGAGACTCAAAATCCAAATGAAGACTTGTTACTGAGAAACTCTAATAGCATTTTATTCCCAGCTGAATATTCTGAGAGGACCGAAAGCGGTTGGATTTTACGCGATTTACAGTATGAGCTACTATTCCAGCCAGTCAATAATTCTCGTCGAGTTTAAAATATTTCATGAGAGAAGGTGAAATCAGTTCAGTGTTTTTGATCCTTATATAAGCCACCATCATCTGCCAGATTTTTTCCCTTTCTCAGGGTATGGCTTAAGCACTTCAAAGTTAGGTACTACATAGAGAGCGTGATTCATTTGGCAGCTCGCATTGTCCAGACTCAAAAAAACCCAAAGCTGGCCAGAGACTTACTTCAGAGGAGAGAAAGAATTTGGCTTGAGCTTAAGGCCGCCCATCCCCATCAAGAGATGGGCGCTTTTTGTCATCTTATCGCAGCCTTAGCGCATTGCTGTGGTGACTATGTGCTTCACAGGTGGGAGCCTGCCTCTGTCAAATGAGCGAGTTCACTAAGGACGGGATTTGCCGCTGTTATTTTTCTATTAGGGGAGAATTATGCTAAGCCTTCAGAGGCCATCTTTGTGTTGCTATGGCAGCCCATATTTCCTACCGGGTTGCGACCTTGAATGACTACAGTGCAAAGCCAAGAGGGCCGAAAACCCTTTGAGGATTAGAAGCAGTGCCTCATAGTTATGCAAAACACCTCTGATATGATTGAACTTTGAATGGATGAATGACAAAGTTTATTGAGATTGCTTCTCCTTTCTTCTGATCATTGTCACTTGATTATTTTCCATCACTTGGCTTTGAATGCAGGTTTTCAAATGAGTGTTCTAGACAAATATTAGATTTTTCATGTCCAACATCTTCATGTATTCAGCGGTTGAAATGTTTGCCATGATAACAATAATAATAATAATAATTTACCAAATCATTGCCATTTTAGGTTTTAAACATTCTCCATTACCCTGACACTTTGCAATTTGCCAATGTGCATATTTATTGAAATGTATACAAACAAACAGCTCCACAGCGCGACCTGGTAATTAAAAAAAATAAAAGCTAATTTGTCAGCTTGCTTAAACATAGTGGTGGGACATTTAGGACACAGATGCACATTTTTATGTGCATATGTAATTCTCTTGAAGCCAAATCCTCCAAACAAACATTAATAAGTCATGCTGGTTTAAAATTATTGTGACTCAAAATGATGCATGAACTGATAAAGCTTTTTTTGAGATTTTGTAAAGTTATTTCATTTTCAGGATTGAATTTCTATTTAATCATTCGACCAAAATGTGTTTAAAAATGATTCAAGCACATCACAGAAATGTTCTAGTAATAATAAATCATCCTTAAAAATAACTCTCTTGCAGTTATTTCCTGCAACAAATAAGATGTCAGCCATTTTGAGTTAAATTTAACACATGATCATTTCTTAATGAAATGAATGCATGTGCATACATTTTTAATTTTCCTCTACTTTGAGCAAGTACTTGAGATTTAGAGTGGATTTTAGAGATTTTTTATGTCAGAACCTCTGTTACCTCTAGCATACAGGAAAATGCACATATCAGAGTGTAGAAGTGAACATATTTCACTAAAACTCCTTTCATGCTTGTGCTATTTTTATTTAAAATTTATTTTCATTAATTATGTAGGCTGCTTCTGAAATGTACACATTGATGAATAGATTAAATTCCAG